TTGGACGAGAGGCTGTCCCTGGGAGATTTCACTTCCAGTGGATCCAGCCGTAGAGCTTTGGCCAAAGGGTGAGACTCAACATTTTTATGATAGTCAGAATTTAGCAGATATTCCCAGTCCTGGATTAAAGAAAAGGAGAAAGGACACATGAGACAATCCTACATACTAAATTGTTTTAGTTTATATAGTTTATATTTTTAAAAGGAAAGAAGAATGCAAAGCAGGGAATTAAAAACACCAAAGGCAACGAGATCACCAATGTGATCTTATAGGCAGCATTTACAGTTCTCAAGCTGTTTTTAAAAAGATGCTTATTAACATGCTGTTGGTTTTTGAGAAACATAGTCCTGTGGCCTCTGAAAGACAACTGTTGCATAATGTTTTATTAGCAGGAGCTAATATGAATGTACCTATTGCAACAGGATCCTTCTCTCGCTGGTGTGGCCTATTTTGAAGCCTATTTTGCCAAGACATTGTTTGCTTGCTCATTAGCATTTAAGGGCATTCTCCAGCACAGTTCAGAAACGGGCACCCACAACAATGTCTTTCATATTGCGAGATCAGGAAGAAATGTTGCCTAGTCAGCTGCTGAAACATGCACCAATGGTGATCATTTGCATGTGTCAAATAGATATCAGAGAGCAGACAAAGCTTTGGTTATTAGCCTAAACCTCTTGATCCCAAACACAATATAAACAAATAATTTTTTATTTATACCCTGCCCCTTCCCGGTTCAGAAAACCGGGCTCAGGGCGGCTAACAACAAATTTAAAACACTTAATTGATGCAACAAAAAACAGCATAAAATACAGTATAAAATGTGAATAACAATAAATTCAGAATTAAAAAATCAATTTAGGGGGGAAATCCATCCAATAAACATTAGATGATCACCAAGGCTAGCTGGCTAAATTAGTCCTATTTGGGCCAGCGAGGAGACCAGGGGAGAATTAGCTGTAGGATCCCAGAGTGGGAAATCTTCATAAAAAGGGGAGGGGGAGGGAAGGAAGGGGAATAAAAGATCAGGCTAAGTTCAAATTGAAAGCCAGGCGGAATAGCTCTGTCTTACAGGCCCTGCGGAAGGAGGTTAAATCCTGCAGGGCCCTGGTCTCATGGGACATGAGAAACAGTTTTTTCAATGCCACCATTAACAATCTGAGCTACCTTGTACCAAAACCAAACTCCAAATCTGATGAAGTGGGCTCTAGTCTAGAAAATATTATGCCATAGTACATTTATTAGTCTTTTAAAGATGCCCCTGCACTCTCCATGGTTTTTACTTGTGGCTATCCCTCTGGGAGCTTTTTTATGTTGAGCTGCTAATCACCAAAGTTCGTCAAGTGATATGCAGACCTGTGAAGTCAGCCTTCAGTCCAAAACACCAGGTTGTGGCTGAAGTGCAAACTCTCACCTGTTGGACTACAAATCCTACCCCTGCTGTAAGTCGAAAGAGCACACCTGATGCTCACATAACACCAAACAAGTTCATGCAAATGTGTGTTTTTAGCTAAGCGCCATACAAGTCTAGGAAGCAGCACCTCCCGAATCAGAGGAATGCACAAAAATCCTCCAGGTGGTCAGGAACTACTAATTAAAATGATAAATCATTCCCTTACTTCATCTGATCCTGTCTCTGACGGCCGGGCTTTCTTGGGAGCAATGACTGGAGAAAGAGAGCCTTCAAAATCAAGCTGAAATAAACAGATAAATAAATCATAACACTGGGCACTGAATTTCAGTTTTCATACATTACAGGAATCGTTCTATCAGAAGAAGCAAGCTGATCGTGCAACAGTTCCACGTACAATTGTGGTTATTTCTTTGCATTAGCCTCCGCCACCTGGAACCCTGCCCGATTTGGACTAAAACTCTCACTAGCCCCAGACAACCTGGAGGTTGGCTGTCCCTGCTCTAAGATCTATATTGAACTATTATATAGAGCCAAGCAATAACTAGTAAGATGTGTGAGCACCCAAAATCAAGGGAACCATGCTGTTGCTAGTGCTTGCAAGATTCTGTGTATATATAGTTTAATTCTAAGACAGACTGCATCAGAAGCACAGGGAAGGGACAGGATACATTATCTCAGCAATACCTTGTTACTAGCAGAAAGTCTGTTACACAGCTTGAAGGTATTTGGATCAATAATAATAATAATGTAATAATAATTTATTATTTATACCCCAGCCACTCTGGGCAGCTCCCAGCAGAATAATAATAATAATAATAATAATAATAATAATAATAATAATGTGATAAAACATCAAACATTAAAACTTCCCTAAACAGGGCTGCCTTCAGATGTCTTCTAAAAGTCAGATAGTTGTTTATTTCCTTGACATTTGATGGGAGGGCGTTCCACAGGGCAGGCGCCACCACCAAGAAGGCCCTCTGCCTGGTTCCCTGTAACCTCACTTCTCGCAGCGAGGGAACCGCCAGAAGGCCCTTGGAGCTGGACCTCTGTGTCAGGGCTGAACGATGGGGGTGGAGACGCTCCTTCAGGTATACTGCACCGAGGCCATTTAGGGCTTTAAAGGTCAGCACCAACACTTTGAATTGTGCTCGGAAACATACTGGGAGCCAATGTAGGTCTTTCAGGACCGGTGTTATGTGGTCTCGGCGGCCGCTCCCAGTCACCAGTCTAGCTGCCGCACTCTGGATTAGTTGCAGTTTCCGAGTCACCTTCAAAGTGCGCATTGCTTTAGTCGAACACTTCAGAGTACATGGTGGAATTCCCACCCTTCAAGTGACGCCTTAGTATTAAGCTGTTGGTGGGAAGTCAAGTGATGTCGCTGCAGAAGTCACTTACGTTACGAGTCCAGGCCACTCTGTCCGTGTTGTAGCCCATCATGTTCATGAGGCAGGTAACAAATAAGTTCCACTCCGAGTAGTAACTTGGTCCGCCCGGTGCGTTGTAGGCATTGTACCACCTGACGAGCATTTGCACGGCTACTTCTCTGGGCAGGATACACTTAATGCCTTGTAAACATCTTTTGACTGTTTAGGGTTAAGGGGTGAAGAAAGAACTGCTCAGATTACCGTTTGGTCATAGAGCTACTCAATTCATTTCTGTAACTTGAAAACCATTTGCTTTTAACTGGCCCAGGGTGACACCATCAAATTTTATAAAATTATACATGGCATGGAGCAAAAGCAGATAGAGAAAAGTTTTTCCTCCCTCTCTCATAACATAAGAATTCATGGACATCCAAAAAGGACTTGCTTTGTGCCCCAGCCTACAGGAATCAGCTGTGAAACGATGGGTTAATTTTGTTCTCCTGGCCCTGTTCTCCTAATCATGGCATAAAGACCTGAAAGTGATAATTGGTCAAGCAATTGAGTCCTATGCAACTTAAGTCTAACCTGGTTCAGAGCTTGGATTTTAATTTGCTGATTCTATGTCACTGGTGAGACAAAGCAGGGGGGAAGAGAGCTCACAAGCAAGAACAAAAAAGTATTATTATTCAATATCATACCTAATTCTGAAGTTGCAATTTCTGGGATGGTAATTCTGACCATGGAGCCACTGCTGAGTTCCTGGGAGAAGAACAACAACAGGTGAATTATCTAGCATATGCCATTCACATAAACTAAAGTGATCGGTTAACATGATCAAGAGACCCATGGACAAACAAAAGCACGGTCTTTTTCTTTTGGCAAGAGGCCCCCAAAGGGAAGAATATAAAAAAACGGGAAAGGAAAGATCCTTAACACCAGGGTCTCACTCTCTCTGCTCATCAACAAGCAAACTGTGGTTTGGAGATCTAACAAATGATGAACCAGAAAGTTTATTTGTTAAACCCAGAACAAGAAAGAGAGAGACAAAGCTCACGGACACTGGGACTAAGTTTTAGATTAATGCATGGATGAGCAAGGATTTGAAATTGCGTTTCCCAGAACCAAGCTGGAAACTCTTCAATTACTGTGCCACACTGTGCTTCGACTAAGGTCAGCTAACTCTCTATCCACAGAACACCACTTACCAGAGTCACTCTGTTCTGGACAGGATCTCTCACAGAATGAATAAAAGTTGAAAGTTGCTGAAAAGTGCAATCATCAATGTAAGAGGAATTTTGAAGTTTGGAAGAATCCCTCAGCTCTGGAACAGGGGACAACACGCCCTGCTTAAAAGGGGGGCAAATATTAAAATCTTTTAGCTCTATTCTCAACAGCCCAGATTCAGGATTAAACAAAACAAATTTCCTTAGCAGGTTCAGAAAGATATGAATCGAGCTGCAACTACAGTTTCCTTACAATCTGTTTGTTTACAATATTTAAATACATCAAATACAGAAATAAATCACAACGGACAGAAACAATGGATTAACACTCACTGCCTTAAGACTGCAATTTTTAAAGACCTGGGAGAACAAAAAGGTCTTCATAGAACTGTAAAGACCATAAAGTAGCAAGCAAGTCTCTTTGGGGAGGGCATTCCAATGTCAGGGGAGCACCACTGAGCAGATCCTCTTCCTAGTTGCTACAAGTCTCCCTTCACTTGGCAAAGTCACCCAAAGCTGGGCTTCTGAAAAGCATCTCAAGGTTCAGGCAGGTATATGTGGGAGAAGGTGAGCTTTCGGCTACCTTTGTTGCCCACTCTAAAGGGCTATGAAGGTCAAAACTAGGACTTCCAGGGCATGTGTCTGCAACCCGTGGTGTCTGAGCAGAATGCCAAGAACCACACTTTTCATTTAAAGCCTTCCACCTGACCCTTACGTGGCCAGCTTTTGTGGGCCTCATTTCTCCCCAAAGAGCCGTCCTCATTCTGTGTCCAAACACAAACAGGGCAATAGTGACAGCGATGATCTATACATCCACAGAGCCCCTTACCTCATCTAAGGGTCCGAGATGCTTGTTCAAGGGCTTGGAAGGAGTATTGGCATTGTCCAGAGGGGTGCTGGGGCGAGGCATCTGATTGGACATCGTCAGTGACGGAGCTGGCAAACCAGGTATAAAAACCTTCCCTACCTTGTAACGGGCGAGAAATGAAGAAACTAAGTAGAGTTCCAAGAGAGCGAGCTTTTAAAGTCCAAAGCGTCCCTAAAAAGACAAGCTTAGCAACGAATGCAATCCTAGAATTCAGCTGTAAGTAATAAATAACCACCTTTTGCCTCTAGCTGCTTCCCTCCACAGAAGGGAACAAAGTCCTTGGACTTTAAAAGGTTGCCAACCCTCAAACTAGAGCAGGGTTTCCCAAACTTGTGTCTCTTTTTTGGACTACAACTCCCATCATCCCTAGCTAGCAGGACCAGTGGATGATGGGAATTGTAGTCTAGAAACAGCTGTTTGGGAAACCCTGAGCTAGAGGAAAGGTTTTTGAGGTTTCTTTGCTTGGTTTGCAACCGAGTAGCATATAAGTTTTATGAAATAAACACTATAAAACGAACACTTACCCGAACCACTCCGGTGTACAGGACTAAGTTTCCATTGCTTTCCAGAACCAGCATTGTGTCAATGCTCTGTAAAGGCCAAAAGAAAGAGAGTAAATTCATCCGCTGGCATTTGAGCACATGCGATCAAGTGGCATTAAACCTGTCTGCACACTCTACATTTCGCATTCTCATACTTACTTCCACTGGAGCTGCATCCTTTGCCGGGATGTTGGTGACAGAGCCAAAGATCAACTGTGACATGTCGTTACTCTGTTGAAACTTTACACAGCTAAACACCAAGGGAGGAAAAAAGCAAAACCTTATACAAAGAAATATCTCCAGTATTATTTTTTGCACTACAGTTTTCCAAAAAATATCATGGCTGCCAGCTGGGAAGGCTATTAATGCTTAACTTTTTGTATATAAATATGAATAAATGCTGTTGCTTGACTTGAAGCGCCACGTTTAGAGAGGAACTCGGTTTCGTCATCAAACCCAAGCTTGGTCAAGGAAACTTTTTGATACAATTTCCGAAATGGCAAGCTGTGGTTTGTAACTGGACGATAAAGGAGAATAAAAAATGACAGTTGGTACTTTCTATGATTTTTGCATGTCTGAATAGACAAACCATCATTAGGGGGAATCGCTTCACCTCTGGAGAGCCCTCCAACATACAAATGAAAATGATGAGTAATAGGAAATGAAAACTGAGAAGCAGTTGGAACCAATTGCTCGTGGTAAACTATTAACTGTGGCTTATTATTTGCCATCTGGGACGCGGGTGGCGCTGTGGGTAAAACCTCAGTGCCTAGGACTTGCCGATCGTATGGTCGGTGGTTTGAATCCCCGCAGCAGGGTGAGCTCCCGTCTTTCGGTCCCAGCTCCTGCCCACCTAGCAGTTCGAAAGCACCCCAAGTGCAAGTAGATAAATAGGTATCGCTTTATAGCGGGAAGGTAAACGGCGTTTCCGTGTGCTGCGCTGGTGCTGGCTCGCCAGAGCAGCTTCATCACGCTGGCCACGTGACCCGGAAGTGTCTCCGGACAGCGCTGGCCCCCGGCCTCTTAAGTGAGATGGGCGCACAACCCTAGAGTCGGACACGACTGGCCCGTACGGGCAGGGGTACCTTTATTATTTGCCATACTGCTTGTATGGTGAAATGCTTCTAAGCAGTTTATGCTATAAAATCAATTATACAATTCCTACGTAATTAAAATACACAATAACAATTTCATCAGAGCGTTAAAACATTCTAAATTAATACATGCAAGGCAGTTTAAAAGGCTGACAATTAAAACAGTTTAAAAACAGTTAAAGCATTAAGATCAGAAGTTCACATTCAGGGGAATGCTTGCCTAAACAAGAGCCAGCGGAATGCCAATACTGATGGGGCCTCTCATATGTCTGTTATATTTCTCATTTACCATGATATGCGAATGAGTCCCCTTTCTGAATGCTAAAACTGGGATTTGCAATAATATTCAGCTCTCTTTTGGTTATGTTTCCAGTATTTTAGACAACAATTCGAGAAAGTCACATATCAAAATGCACTTACCGTAACTGAAGCTGGGACTCCACTAAGTAGCACAAAAACTTTTGCCCACAAAGGTCAGTCGTAATAAATACTTTGGAAGCTTGAGAATTCTTCTCTCTGTCAATATTCAAATAATCAAAAGAAGAATAAAGTTAAGCTTACTCAAATAAAGTTTACAAATTAAACTGTAGATTATTTTATGCTTCCCTAACAGAGCAATTCTAGGCGTAGGAAAATCTCCCCCATTTTATTTCATCTCTGAATCCACTTTGCACAATCAGAGTTTTGCAGTCTGCAATCTGGGTATGAGCTTTACTAAACCTTTCCTAAAAGAGCAAACTAACTCTTCTAGCACAACTGAAAGAAATGGAATGCTTCAAGAACAAAACAATAGGAGATATGGTCAAGCACAGAGTGTCACAGGGGTCTCCCCCAACAACTCTTAATGAACCAGAGCTCCTAGAATACTTTAGGGAAACCCATGATTGCTTAAAATGGTATATCACACTGCTTTCAATGTACAGTGTGAATGTGGCCGACATCTATCGCAAATAGATTTGTGTCAATCTGAACTTTTTCTTTGGTTTATTACGGTAGATCATGGCATACGTATGATGCCTGAGTTCTGAGTTTCCTCTTCCCTCCTTGTTCCTTTTCCCTTCTGTGCTGTATTCTTATTAATTTGTTTGTTTGTTTATTATAATGTAAGCTTGTGGGTAGGGAATGTCTTGTTCTGATTTAATGTAAGCCACTGTGGGAGACATTTTTGGCTGAAGAGCGGGGTACAAATACTCTGAAATAAATAAATAAAATGTTGACATAACTTAAAATATGACATGAGATCCTCCATTATGAATCTTGCTTGAACCTGGCAATAGCACCCCCCCCCCACGTGTGCTTTCGAGCAACTAACATACAGAGAGGCATTCCGCCTCTGGGAGCAGCGGCAGAACAGATCTCCCCAAGTTTTTTCTTCTTACTTCAGAGCAGCCATTGGGGTGGGACGAGGCATGGAACTGGATCAAAGCAGCAGCACCTCCTAATTTTTAACATTTCCGAGTGAATACCGCGCTCAGCTTCTTAACTCTGCTTTTACTGGCGGACAGGCATGTCTGTTCAGACACATACTTGCAATGCTATTCTCTCCTCCAAACTTTATAAACAATAAAACACCCCACTCAAGAGAAAGCAGCCCCCTGCTGGTGAGACCCCCTGCTGAATAGATAGGATTATTCCAAACCTTGTGGTAGTGAAGGCCTCTGTCCATAGATGGTCTATGCAAAGCTCTGGAACAATGAGTTCCGTTTCTGGGGCAAAGAACGAGTCCATCGCACTGTTTGGAGAATGGCAGGCACTGTGCCTCCTGGGAGACTGTGCATGGTTGGAGAAGTTGAATCTCTGCACTCCTGAGAATGAATGCACCCCTAAGGCCGGGGAGTGAGATCGGCTGTGAAAAGAAAACAATTTCCCCCGGTGATGAGTTACATGTCCAACACCCCTTTTTTTTCCACCAGAAAGCCAAGGTGCTCACACTTCCAAGAGAGGAGGAGGTCTACGTTTTAATTCTCCACTTCAGATCTTCAACTATGAAGTCATGGGCTTCTGGAAAGCGACTATCTTTCAGCAGGCACCACCATGTATGATATGGAGATAAAAAATAATACTGGCCTCACTTTCCACAATGAGCAAGGGGATCCAAAGAGCAGTGTGGCAGCCACAGCGGCTTCCAACACAGTGTAAGAGATTGCAGCCTGGATGGAAAACTGATGCAATCCTTAAGTTTGTACGGAACTGCTTGAAGCTTGCACTTGGGGTGATGGGAACGAGAAGCAGGTTCTTAGGATCCTGCTTAAGGACTATAATTAGAACTACAGGCAACAGGTTTTATTGGAATGTGTGAATGTGGCCGTGTAGCACTGCAAGAAGGAAGCAATAGGCCCCTAACACCAAGGAGCATACAATCTAAGCCTCCAGCAACCTCTAGATGTTTTGCATTACAACTCCCAACAGCTACAGCCAGCACAGAAATATTTCTTAAGGTAATGTTCTTTGCAGCTGGCCAGGAATTGACAAGGCGATTAACGTTCCAAGGGGGCAGGGAACCTCTACAGCAGCGTTTCCAAAATGTGGAATGTGGAAACTGCAACGTCCCTATCACAGTTTCATAATGTAGGAAGAGTGAAAATGGGGGTTGTGTTCAACACAGCACTAAGGCAGGGTCCCATTAGCGCAAGGATTACTGCTAGCAGAATGGGATTCTCCAAACCTCTCCTCCACCCAACTGCCCCCTAAATCTGCTCGAGCGATTCCCCCAAACTCTCCAGACCAGATTCGGGAAGGGTGCAGGGTGTGCATGGGCAAGTTCCATTGCACTCATGCCAATCTTCGCATGAATAAGGCCAAGTTAGCTGAATACCACCTGAGAGTCTTAATTTGCCCCGGTGGGAGAGAAAGGCTGGTGACCCAGCAAGATCTGAGAGGCTAAAATCTGCTAGGGAAGCTGAAGAGCAGCAAATGCATTTCAGCTTATGAAAGATATGATCCCTGCCTCCACAACCCTTTAAGGCTGGAGTCTGAAGCCGCAACCACCCGCAGAAGATTTCAGTAAGCCAGGATTTGTAGCATGCATGGTTCCCCCGTATAGTTCTTTGCAAATTGACAACCAAAGCTTACCAGCCTACCTTAGAGCTGCCATGTTGGATATGGAGGGTGATCGGGAGTGAATGCTGGGGGACGATGCTGACCTGCTCTGACTGTGAATAGAGGAATAGTTCTGGAACGGGGAAGCCACGGGCGAGTCGCCCTTAGAGAGGCTCCGAAGGTGGACTGTGAAGGAGCTGCTGGCGGCCGCATACTGAGGGGTCCCCACCTGCTCGGAGAATTTCAAAACAGCGCTTTGCTCCTGCAGAGAAGAGCACACACACAAAAAATCGGCTGCTGTTGTTCGAAACTGCATAGCTTTTACGTAACAGGATACCTTGAAGTACAGATCTAACTTTAAAACATAGAATCATAGAATTGTAGAGGTGGAATGGCACCTAAGGAGCCCAACCCCCTGCAATGCAGGAAGATGCAACTGACCCATACAGGGATCGAACCTGCAACCTTGGTGTTACCAGCACCACGCTCTAACCCACTGAGCTATCCAGGCTCCGTCACATGAAACGTATCCAAAGTTTAAGGGGCCAACTAAACAAGGAGAGGAGAGGTCCAGGATCATAAAAAAACATAAGAAGAACCCTACTGGATCCACCCAAAGGTCCATATAACCCTTCTTCTTCTTCTTCTTCTTCTTCTTCTTCTTCTTCTTCTTCTTCTTCTTCGGTGATCATTCATAGCTGAGTAAGATTGTCTTCCATCAAATCAGCCTTAACAGTGAGTCCGTAAGTGACTGTGGAGGCCAATTCTGGATCCACATGTCCTTCCACAGTGGGGACATAGGTTTCCGGGCGGAATTTGATCACGGTGAGAGTTTGCCAAGCGTGCCTTCCTCTTAGCACGCTTCTCCCTTTCGTTCTGAGTTTGAGTGTCTTCAAAGCCTTTGGTAAAGGCTGTTCTCCAATTGGAGCTCTCACAGGCCAGTGTTTCCCAGTTACAGTATTGGTGTTTATACTACATTTTTAAAGATTTGCCTTGAGAAAGTCTTTAAACCTCTTTTGTTGACCACCAGCATTACACTTTCCATTTTTAAGTTTGGAATAGAGTAGTTGCTTTGGAAGACAATAATCAGGCATCCGCACGACATGACCAGTCCAATGAAGTTGATGCTGAAGAATCTGGTGATCTTTGCTTCCCTATAACCCAGCACCCTGCTCTCAAAGTGGGCAAACAGATGTCTATGGGAAGCCTACATGCAGGACCTGAGTGCCACATGATTTTGAGCAACTAGCATACAGACTAGCATACCTCTGACAACAGTGGCAGCACAGATCCCCCCCAGGTTTTTCTCCTTTCTTCAGAGCAGTCATTGGGGTGAGACGAGGCACGGGAACTGGATCAAGGCAGCAGAGCCTCCTAATTTTTAACATTTCCACGTGGATCCTGCGCTTGGCTCCTTACCTCTGCTTTTACTCGACGAAGCGCCCAGATGGTATGCACACTCTGAGTGGCATCGTACGTCATTAGGATGGAAGGCTCAGCGTTGAGGAAAACAATTCTCATCGAATAGTCGGCAACGTACTGTACTCTGGCAGAGCCAAACAAACCTGCTAAGCAGGAGAAAAGTCAGGTTAGCCACCTAAGAGAAAAGGCCACGCAGGGGACATGCCGTATTTTTCGCCCTACAGGACGCACTTTTCCCCCTCCAAAAATGAAGGGGAAATCTGTGTGCGTCCTATGGGGTGAATGCAGGCTTTCGCTGAAGCTTGGAGAGCGAGAGGGGTCGGTGCGCAACGACCCCTATCGCTCTCCAGGCTTCAGGAAGCTATCAGCAGGCCCGGGGAGCCCGCGGGAGTTCCCACAGGGCTCCCTAGGCTGCGGATAGCAGCCTGCTTCCCGGAGCGCGGGGCGCGCTGAAAGCAGAGTGCCCGGTGCTTCAGGAAGACATCGGGCAGCCCCACAAGCTCGGGGGACAGCGGGGAGGCGCAGCGCTGCCATCCCGCTGTTCCTCGACCTGGTTTGGAGGCTGGCACTGGGGAGAAGCGCGCTTCTCCCCAGCGCCAGCCCCACAAGCTCGGGGGACAGCGGGGAGGTGCAGCGCCGCCATCCCACTGTTCCCCGACCTGGTTTGGATTCCCCGACCTGGTTTTGGGGGGGAAATAAAGGGGGGGGAATTCCTTTATTTCCCCCCCAAAAAACTAGGTGCGTCGTATGGGCCAGTGCGTCCTATGGGACGAAAAATACGGTAGTTCAAAAACAACATGCGCACACCATCGTAAACATTGGCAACAAGGAGAAGGCAGGAGTGCGGTGGTGCAGAACTAATGTGGGGCCTTGTGGGGCTGTAGTAATATGCCTTTGCTTGGGTTATTTTCAGCTTTGCAGACTTATATGTCTATTTCAACATAATAAAAAAAAAACCTATTGCGGTACGTAAGTCACCTGCATTTTAGAGGATGAGAAACAAGTCCCAATAATATATTAACAAAATGAATGAGCACCTCTCAGGAGAAGGCTAATTACAAAAACCTCTTCCTGGCATTCCCAATATGGATTATTTTAAAATTTAGAGAGGGCAGAATTAACCTCTTGAATTTATTCACAGCTACATTTTCCTGAAAAGCTCACAAGCTCAGCACTGTAAGATAGTTTCATATACGTTGTATTGTAACACTTAAAAAATTGTATAAAAGGGTAGTTTATAAATATAATCAATGTCTTTTGTCCTGACCCCTTGGAAAGTATGAAAGTATTTCTCCTGTGCGTGCTTGTTAGGGGTACACCCCCCCCCCTTTTAATTTTCTAATTCTACTACCATTAATGCAACAGAGAGTTGAAACGTCTTCAGCAAAATGTCTTTTACTAAGATAAACGCTCAAAGGTTTCTTTTTGGATTTTGGTCTCCTCAATCAATCACATTACAGTCCTTGCTTCAGCTACCAAATACTATAATTGAGGCCTCCAGAGAAAGAGGAAGTGCCAGGATTTCCCCTGTACTTTAATCTATTTCCACGACCTGCTAAATTTTATAACTAATAATTAGTGCCCAGGTTGGTTTGCTTTTTTCCTCCTCCCTCCCAATCCTTTTACCTCTTGTGCCCTGACTTTTTGATTGTAAGACTTAGAAAGATTTTTGCTGCTCTGCGAGCTTGGTTCTCCTAAAGAGCAGAGCAAAAAATGCTCAGTTGATGAAGCAATTAGTGTTCCAAATTCCTAAATGTCACCAAAAGCAGGGACCAGCAAAACGTTCGTCAAGCATCTCCGAATACTGCTCAGCTGGACTTGTTTTTCCTCCTTGTTTTTAAGAATTACATATTTTACCTGCTGACTTACAAACCATTGGCGTTATTTCATCTAACGGATGCAGCATGCTGAACATGGTGGGCAAAGGTTCTCTGAAAAGAAAATGGGGCAAAATATTAAGCACTGCAGGCAAAACGGAGAGCAGCAACTAAAGGCTGCACTCCTAACCTGATTTACCTGGGAGTAAGCACCACTAAATTCAATGGTGCTTACCTCTGAGTAGACATGGTTAGGATCACAGACTTAACTCAGTACAGCATCCTAAATGTTTCGTGAACTGGTAAATAACAGAAGGTTTGTATATAACAGCAGAATGTAGTTTGGCAAACCAGGAAGCGTCCCCTGAAGCTGGGAACATACGGGGAGGCAGGAAGGAGACACGCTTATTCCCAGTCCTCCAAACTACAACTCGGAAGATCAGAGAACATGACATTTGAATACAGCCTGTATGTGTTGACTTTAATAAGTTAGTATCACATTCAGAAATCATTTTTAAGTTGGTTTATGCTTTTAATTTATTTTTAATTTAAAACTTTGAAATGTAACCCCCAAAAAGTAAGACGGGTAAATAAACAAAGTGTGTGACATTATATCTCAGAATATACAGAACAGAGCAGTCCTACTAATATCATGTTGTGCTTTGCACTCTTCGAACTGATACAGGTTACAATTCCAGGATGAGGCACGGCATAGTCACAAAAAACCTGGTTCTTGCAGATATTCATGCTGTCCAAATACCTGTGAATGCTTCTGGGGCTTTTCGGTTAAGTGATTGACACATTTGTATGTACTTTAGATTGATACCAATCTGCTACAAAGGTGCCTGCGTGTTTTTCAAGTCAGTTTATTTTCAAAGGGACACTTAGCATAACTTGGAAAATTTAGAAATTAAAATCAGATTAAAAGGAAAATCTCATGAGATTTTTATCCACTCTGTTAGCTACAGAATTATCCTGCCAAGAGACATGCCAAGGAATGAAGTTAAAGAGCCACAGAATGTGTGGGCCATCACATTTACTAAGGACACTGGACCAGCTTCTTACCATGCAGTCAAGAATCAATAAAGTCTAATTACCTGGCTGGGCTAAGAGGCACTTCGTGCAAAGAACTGCTACGTTCAAACAGCAAGCCATATTTTGTTGGCCAGACATTGGCTACCTATATATATATATAAAAGTTATATTTTTAAAAACATTATTCACATGTTTATATCCATGATATTTGAAAGCTTCTGATTTTCAGCTAGCTGGCAAATAATGTCAAGGCTTTAGGTACCAGGACACAAATGATTTCTGCTTTGTTTATAACATGGGTGGGGAACCAAGGGTCAAATACAGCCCTCCAGGTCTCTCTCTCTCTCCCTTGGGACTGTCCCCAAGCCACCCCCCACCCCACAAGCCATGCCCTTTGCCAGCCCTGCTTTGCCCCCTTCTTTTTTGCCTGGCTGGAATATGTCTTTGAACTCGGATAATGCTTCTTACTTCCCTGCAAGGATGTCAGGAGCAGGTGCCGGGAGCAAGTCAGCAATAACTCACACGGCGTCTGTTAAATTAACTCTTTATTCAAAGAAATATGACAGCTCAGGAGGCCAGGCTTAGTGATCACAGCAACTCTTCCCGATTTCTGAATTTGGTTTTCACATATGCTTACCTGAAAGGGCAAAGAAGCAATGTGATCCTTTCCTTCAATGCTGTGGATATTTATGCAAGAGCTCTGTAATATACAGATACACTTTTCTACTACTTCGGTGCTATCTGAAATTGGGGAACAAATAAGCATAATTTAATAACCTTCCATTCAGCTACCCTTCTCCCAAAACCAGACTGCATTGCACACACTTGGTTTTGGGAAAACTATAGCATATTGCAACAGATGGTGCCTTTCAAGTTGGATCATTTATTACTGTTGTTTTTCATGTTGACGCCTGCAAGCAGATTTTAAACAACTCGTGAGGAGAGAAAAGTGAGGCATACGTATTTCCAGACTTCAAATGAAGCCTAATAAAAATGAAACATACCTTCCGTTTTGTCAGACTTATCCTTGGGTATAGAGAAATCACACCACAATGCCTGAAACAAAATAAAAATATTCAGCAGGAAGAGTAAACCAGGTCTGGCTATCAGAAAGCTCGTTATTTGAAATCTCAGTTATCTGAACACAAAGAATTATACCCAAACCTCACTACACGAACAGCTGATTCAGATATCTGAACAGCCAGAGTTTGCCCACGTCTTCATTTGCGTTTTGCCGGTCAGGGGCAGCCATTTCAGGCAGAAACCGCTTGCATTTACTATTTGCAAACTCCATCTGCAAGTGCCTATGCTTATTTTATTTCATTTACTTCCTTCAATGTATAGCCAGACCTTCCTCTTTTAATTATCCAAAGGTGGGTTACAATAAATACATAACACATCTGAGTCAGGACAACAAAAACATTTTTTTTTTAAAAGTAAGAAAAGAATTATTTCCGCAAATATACTACTACACCAGGCAATACTGGCAAAATGACACAATCCACACACCAGAGCTTTTCCTGTGTAATACACTCTTTTCACCTAAGTCACAATCTCCATTCATTTTTCATTCTCCTACCCTGCCTTATTCCTGGCGGGATTCAGAAAACATGTTATAATCCTAACTACAGTAATGAATATACAATAAAAATGCTCCTCTCTGCCCCCATCATATTATTCTCTCCTCCTCCAAGTAGTGCTGGGAGAGACTCCTGCCTGAAACCCTGAAGAGCTGCTGCCAGTCAGAGCAGACAATACTGAGGCAGATGGACCTGACGTGGCATAAGGCTGCTTCCTATGTTGCTGCTTGCTTATATAAAAAGACCACACAACCCGAACTCCTGCATATCTGACTGGTCGTCTGCGCCACTGATCCCCCAAGAGGCTTTCTCCTAAGCGAGTGCAAGGATAATTCTGGCCTCGGTTTCATATGCAACTTGCAGCTAAAGAAGCTCTATGGTACCATGCCATTTTCCATACCTGCAAAACAGGGCTGTCCACCGTAAACGCTTTGTAAACTGCAGAAGCTTGGCTTTTACTCCCTCTGCTCCAAATGACCATATTGCCGGCCACGTAAAGCTCTTCATCGTACTCGACTTCTTCGCCAACATCACTAATGCCCTTCCTTAGCTGCCAACTTTCCTGAAGGGGGGAAAATGAATAAGAAATATTAGCAAATGCTGTGTATTATGCTTATTGGTGTGATTATTTTTCAAAGACTATCTAGTAGGGAACAGAGAATGGTCCTAGCTAGTTGTAGTTACATTAAGCCGATCTTGCCCTGATCAGTAAAAGTTGAACACATTTCAGTTTGCATGGCCAGAAGGAGCACCAAAGTGATTTAAAGGGAAATTCTGGAACACTCTGGGCGGCTTCCAACAAAATATTAAAATCCAATAGTCTATTAAACATTAAAATCTTCCCTAAACAGGGCTGCCTTCAGATGTCTTCTAAAAGTCTGGTAGTTGTTTTTCTCTTGACATCTGGTGGAAGGGCGTTCCACAGGGCGGATGCCACTACTGAGAAGGCCCTTTGCCTGGTTCCCTGTAACTTAGTAGAATGTGTCCTTTTATTTAAAATGCATCTCTGGGTTATTTATGGGGCCTGCCTGGTGTTTTTACATGAGTAGAATGTGTGCTTTTATTTTAAATGCATCTCTGGGTTATTTGTGGGGCATAGGAATTCATTCTTCTTCTTCTTTTTCTCCAAAATATAGTCCGGCCCTCGACAAGGTCTGAGGGACAGTGGACCAGCCCCCTGCTGAAAAAGTTTGCTGACCCCTGACCTATCTGTTCATGTTATTAACGTTCCTTGCATAGCTGTCAACGTTTCCCCTTTTTAAAAAGGGAAATTCCCTTATTCCGAATAGGATTCCTTGAAAGGAAAGGGGAAAAGCTGACAGCTATGGTTCATTGAGCGTTCACTCATCAATAAAGTATCAAAATGTGTACCACCTATTCCTATGACTTAGAAACTATTTTAACAGATTGTCGTATTTTCCCATCACGTCTTCTCCTCTTTCCTTCCTCACCGGCTGATCATTTTGATTCAAAACCATAGAACTGGAAGGGACCATCTAGTCCAACCCCCTGCAATGTAGGATTCTTTTGCCCAACCTAGAACTCGAACCCACAACCCTGACATTAAGAGCCTCATTCTCAAACCAACAGAGCTATTCCAACAGCACACTGGCACATAGGCTTTGTCTGGTTTAAATGCTGACGCCAAAGGCAGCTCTACCTTGTGTTTCTCGTGGATCGTAACTTCCTGAAGGGATCCCACCAAACCAGCCGCTCCGTCCGACGACCAAAGTTCCGAGGCTGGTTGCAGCTGCCGAAGTTGCAGGTTCAGCGCATTCGGGTGGTGCTTGCAGTGGTCACGGCCAAAAGGGACAAACTCCTGCAAATCCCCTGCTGCAATCATCATTACCCTCTCTTCATAGATGTTCGACATGAGTTCCAAATATCAACATTATTTCTGAAGAAAGACCCAATACAGAAACAGAGGTGGTTTCAAGTGTGACTTTTTCAGCATGCGCAATACTTCGACTCTCCCTTATTCATTTGGCTGTACTCATATTGTCATAGAAGCGCCCTGTATACCTGAAGAAGTGTCTCCACCCTCATCGTTCAGTCCAGACATCCAAATCGGCCCTTTTATTGCACTGAAAATTATCAACCTACACTGAAAATGCTTGAATCAACTGGAGCAAGCTTTTGTAATGGAAGTGCACTGACTTGTGACAGATGCTGTGTATTAAAGGAATATCTTACGGTTGACAAGAGTAACTGCACAATCCTAACCATGTATCCTTAGAAATAAATCCTATGGACTTCAATAAGCTCACTCCTAAGCAACTGAGGTTAGGAGTGCAGCCTAAGTTAAGCACTGGCTCCAAGCATATGTTCTAGGTTACACATTGCTCGTAGAATTGTAGAGTTGCAGGAACCTCAACTGAAGCTTACATCACAGGCGGGCATCCATCCTCTGCTTAAAAACTTCCAAGGAAGAGGATCCTTGGAATACCACACCACTTGGTGTGTATCTTGTCCTTTGGGCATATGATGAATGGGCAACATAAAAAAATAATAATCTTGTGGTTATTTGGGGAACCCAACTCAACAACATTCACAGCACAATCCTCTTATGTGTTTACAACTGGAAGTACAACTGAGCTCAACAGCACTTACTCCCAAGGCAGGCTTTGGTGTTTCTTATGCTTTTTACGAATATCCCTGTCCTCACACAGGGTTGTTGCTGCCGTGTGCAAACCCAAAAAGCTTGACACTTGTGCTCCCCCCCTTATACATCCTGCTTGAGGAGTCCTGGCAAGAAGAAAACTGGAAACCCCAATCGGAAAAGGAAGAAAACACAGGTCACTGGGGTGCTTTTCTCTACCAAAGAGATTGCTTTTTTATTGTTATTATGGTATGCATTTTTTTTAAATTGTAAAACACACACACACACACAGCTTGCAATCTCAAGATGAAGGGCGGTATAAAAACTGAATGATAATAAAAGCAATAGCAATAACAACTACAATATATCCAATATTTAAATTATTATTACCATTATTATTATTATTATTATTATTATTATTATTATTATTAGGGCATGGACAAGTCACCCTGCCCTCCTCCGGGATCGATGAGCCGGGCGAGGCTGCAACCACGCACACCTCTTTGCCCGGGAGGAGAGCCATGTCAGCCCGGCGGCTTCCTCCCGCGCGCAGGGCACGCGCCTCGAGCGCGGGGCGGGGATGCAGATGCGCGCGCGATACGGAGCCCCCGATTCCGCGCCGGAGGAAGCGAGCCGCGGGAAGGGATGGGTAACGGGTCCGAGGGAGGCAGGAGAGGCTGGGCTGGCGGGGGGCAACAACTGGCTGACGAACCTGAGTGACACAGGAAAGCGCGGTCGGCTGCGGGCCTGGGCTCCAGCGGCTCCTCCCGGTGTCTCTTGCCTGGGTAGCGGCGGGCGGGCGGGCGGGCGGCGCGGTCTCCCTCCGAAGTTCTCTCAGACGGGCGCCGCCATCTTGGGACTCCCATCACCGCCCGCGCGGCAGGCCGAGGGCGGGACTAGCGCGGGGGACGCAGCGCCCGGGGGAGAAGCGCGGGAGTGGGGGGTCGGTGGCGTTCGGGGTTGCTAGGCGTTCGGGGTTTGCTAGGGCAGCAAAGAGAGAGCAGGGCAGGGCAACAGACCTGTGGCAACAGTCCCTGAAGAGGGCGCGAGGACTAGTGACTAAATAAAAATAATTAAAAAATAAAAAATTGTCCAGTAGCACCTTGTAGAGAAGTGTGCCTGCACACGAAAGCTTATACCAGAACAAACTTTTTAAAAAATATATAATTTTTATTAGTTTTTTTAACATATCATTTTCAACAGTAATTAAACATACTTTTACATCTTATTCAAATTTTTGACTTCCATCCTGTCTGAAAATTTTCCAATCTAATCTCTCAGTATGCTTTTCTTATCTTCCCTATTACATTTCAAACTCATAACCAATATCTCTATCTTTTTCTACTTTGTAACACTTCGTATATTTCTCCTTACAAAACGTCTTGTAGCCCTACTAGCGTAATTTGTTGATTACATTTGCTCTTCAAATAATTCATATACTTCTTCCAATCTTCTGTAATTCTCTGGTCCCGCAGGTTTCGAATCCTTCCTGTCATTTTGTCCAATTCTGCATAGTCCATTAATTTTGTCTGCCATTCTTCTTTCGTCGGAATTTCTTCTTGTTTCCATTTCTGGGCTAAGAATACACTTGCCGTATACCAGAACAAACTTAGTTGGTCTATAAGGTGCTACGGGACAATTTTTAATTTTTTATTATTTTTATTTCGATTACGTCAGACCAACACAGCTACCTACCTGAATCTAGGGACTAAATACTTGGTTTCTTGCTGCTGTCAGATGAGCTTCATCCGATCAGCTGTGCAAAACAATGCAAAGGGGGGCGGGGGGGAGAGAGAATAGGGATCAAAGTGACTAGGAGCAGCCAGGAATTTGTATTGGGGTAGTTTTACAGATCGCATGGTGTGCATTTCAGTGGCACACAGCCCATAAGCCTATGGTTGATGAGTGTAGCCTAGATATTGCACAAACAGTTAAAGGGACCGGAGAGAACTTAGCTGCAATTTCTATGGCATTAAGAGGGAGGGGGTCACACATGCACATACACACGCACATGCACACTCCTGCCCCACCACCATTTTTCAGTCCTACTATGCTGATTCATCAGTGTCTCTCACACCAAATGTAACTGACCCATAGGACTCTAGGAACTGCAAACGTGCCTTCGTTGTCCATGAAAATCTTTCAGTAAAAACAATTTTTAAAAACGAAAAACAGGGTGTTGTAAACAAAATTTGCTGGTGTTGTAAACAAAATTTGCCCTTTTTCTCTTATGGGGTACAACTGGGGTCAAAACACCGACACCTAGTGGTCAAGATGGCTATCCCATTACAGTATATGCACTTGCTAGTGTCACGGAAAGGGACGTGGGTGACGCTGTGGATAAAAGCCTCAGCGGCCTAGGGCTTGCCGATCGAAAGGTCGGCGGTTTGAATCCCCATGGCGGGGTGCGCTCCTGTCGTTCGGTCCCAGCGCCTGCCAACCTAGCAGTTTGAAAGCACCCCCGGGTGCAAGTAGATAAATAGGGACCGCTTACTGGCGGGAAGGTAAATGGCGTTCCGTGTGCTGCGCTGGCTCGCCAGATGCAGCTTTGTCACGCTGGCCACGTGACCGGAAGTGTCTCCGGACAGCGCTGGCCCCCGGCCTCTTGAGTGAGATGGGCGCACAACCCCAGAGTCTGTCAAGACTGGCCCGTACGGGCAGGGGTACCTTTACCTTTACCTAGTGTCACTGAAACTCAGTGGACCTTACTTCAAAGTAGCCACATACATAGTATTGGGCTGCTCCACACATGCAGGTGGTCGCGTCCTGAGATGGTGGCATAGACTACCACTTCAGGTTTTAGGATGCATATCACTTATTTAATAAAAAAATAAACACAACTACTTTAGGAGAAAAGGTCTCCATCTTATGGATACTGCAAGATGTGAAGCCAAGGGAAATTAACCTTGCCAATAGTTTTTGCTGTTATTTCTTATCCTAGTGAGGCCACAAGATCTTCTCCGTATAGTTCCTCATCTGAGAAAGGAAAACTACTCAGTACATATTCAAAGGTATTTTTATTATGTCACATGTTGCCCTGTTGAGTCCTGGAAATGAGAGCAAGGCCCGGGGCTATGCTCTGTGGAGTTCTGGCCCAAAGTAAACCCAGCTGCAAGCCCAGTGACACAAACACACTGAGGTGTGAAGGTGGCAGAAGTTTGCCCGAGAGCTGAAAGGTGATGTAATACTTACTCCACGGAAACTGGAGAACCTTCCTTCCAAGTAACA